GATTTCTGGTCCTCACAGTTGATTTGTTCGAATGTTTCCCTATGCTCGTAATGGAGGAACTATTTTTTTCCCTTATATCAAGTCCCAGGTTTCCTTTACTTTCCTGCTGAGCAATTGCCTGTTGGTGCCTTTGTCCAGCTTGTTGGGGTTGGTCTGGGTGTCAGCCTGTCCTCTGGAGTATGAGCCAGCTGGGCTGTCCACTCCATGTCACCTCCAGAGCTGCTCAGGATGTGCTGAGTCTGGCCTTAAATGGTCCCAGCCTCCCCGTGCCCCTTCCTAAGGAGCAGCCATCAGCTTTGTCCCACTGCCTGCTGCTCAGTGAGCCTGCAGGGCTGCTCACCTGCCCAGGTACTGCCACCCCCAATTCCCTCTCGGGGGCCTGGGGACATTGGCACAAGTGCCCTTCCAGTCAGGGGTAACCAGAGCACTGCCCCATCCCCAGAGCCAGCCCTTCCTCGCTGAAAGCAGTGAGTTTGTCCATGCTTGATTGGCCCCAGCAGCACATCAGTACTGTTTGTCCCTAATAATCTTCTTGTCCTTCTGGTGCCTGGAAATTTTTCCTTGAGGTCTTGCACCGTAATTTTTACAGGCACTGAGGTGAAGCCTTAGCCTGTAGCTTTCTGGATGCTCCTTGCTTTTTAAGCCAGAAAATAGACACTTCATGCTTCTTATGTTATGGCTCTGTGTGTCTAAAACAGGAAAGTTTTGGAAGCATGAATGCATTTGGCTAAAACCCAGATAATTAAAAACCCTGCCTGTCAGTACCACCCTTGTCTGAGACAGAATGACAGAGCTGTCAGATGGATTATCAACAAACAATATTAGAAATTACCATTTAGTTTCTTAGATTTGGCAGATGAGGAATGTTTAGCTAATACAATTAGGGAAGAAAGGATATGTGTTTTCCTTGTTCTAAGTAATTATTTTTCTGTACTTTTCTATTAATTTAAAAATTCTTCTCTTGAAATTGCCAGAAACTTTGGACATTAAGTGATTACCAGTGATTTTATTTCTGAATAGTGACTAAGACAGTGTCTTGCTTGTAGAATATAGGTATTTTATTAAAAGAGCTCCAAGTGCCAAGAAAATCTGTTTCATAAGATGGAAATTTAGCCTTGAGTGTTGTCTGAACTTCAGTATGTAGCAAAAAGGTGGGAATTTGATTAACTTGTTGGTTTTTTTTTGTTTTGTTTTTTTTTTTCCTGTCTGAATACAAGAAAGGTGGTAACAGGGAGTTGTATACTGGGACTTGCACTTTCCACTTAATTGCTTTAGGTTCTCTTAACTTTGGCACTAAAACTTGCTAAATCTTTGTATGGATTGCCATTCTTCTTACCATTTATTTGATGTCACATATCTTTCTGGAGTTCATCAAAGCATTTTTAGTCTGTGGGAGTGTGTCTTTTGCTGTACTAGGTAGTGCCTTTATTGGAAAGCTTGGAATCCTTTTCTGATGAGCACTCTAAGGTACCATGCTGGGGGAATAGGAGTTATCTGAAAGGAAGCTGCTTTTTTGTACAAAGCTTCTATGCTTCCCATTTTATCATGTCAACAGATGGGAAAAGATAGAAATAATTTTTTAGCTACACTATCACTGCATAGATTCCTAATTTTATGGTTTAGGTCTTGCAGAAAAGGAATGTTGTATTTTCTGTCTTCAGGAGACCAAATTGAGTTTTATAATCCTTCTTCATGTACTAAATTTTTAAAATTTTTGGTAAGTATTTTTCTTTTCTTTTTTCATAATGACTCCATTTATTTCACAATTTTAATTTTTTTTAGCTGAGCAGAGAAACTTGAATTCAAGTGGTTCAACTGAGGTCATATCAGTGCCAAATGGAGTGGAAGGGCATCACCTGTCTTTTTCTTGGATGACATGCAGAGGAAGAGCTATTGATTTTGTCCCAGAGACAGTCTGAGTCATGGCTTTGTCAGACAGCTTTATTAGCCATTGGTTAGCTCAACTGAGATATAATTTTTGGCCATTTTTGACTAACACCAAAATCCCAGAGGGAAATCAGAAGGTGCAGTTCACTGCCCGTGACAATTGCTGTTGCAACTATGGCAATCTGACAATTTCCTTAAACATCTATCAATCCACTGTTACAATTAACTCTTCTGTTAGACATTGACTCATGACAAAGAGATGGTCCATCATCCTTATCTTCCTTTTCTGCTTTGGGTAAAGTAAGATACTTGGCTGAAAATCAAAAGTTGACCTAATGCATTTGTTATGGAAGGAGGAAATATCTGTAAGAAAGATAGAGGCTGAAACAATCTTAGCTGGAATGTGATCAGCAGTGTTCCTTTTCTATTAGATCTCCTAAGGCTAATGTATAATCTTACTTGTGCCTTGGGAAAATGAAGTTAAGCAAAGTTTTATTGATTGTGAAGTAGCTCATGTGGGAAGAGCTTCAGAGCATTGTGAGAGACCGAGGTTATTCAGCACGTGGAGCTGGGCAGTGCCTGTGCTGGGGACACACTCACTTGTGATGTCTGTGTGTGCAGATTGCTGCCAAGGGCTTGGGCGTGTGTGATATGCAGATGGATGGCATCAGACAGGTTCCCTGTGCCCCCTGACGTGTGGCCATGGACAGATGGGGCAAGAAAACCTTGCATTGCTTTTCTAGTACAAGGTGGATAGACAATGCAAAATTAATAAAATCTATATCCCTCTTTGTTGTCTTTAAACACAGTATCTGAGAGCATACATCACAGTCTAATTTATATCCAATTCTAAAATGGCTTAAAAGTCGTCTTGTCATGCATACAGGTCTAATTCCATTTCTGCTGAGCATCTGCTGTCAAGTTTGCTGTTCCATAAAAGTGGTGTTTGTGACATCCCTTAGAAAGGTTGGGAAACAGGGAGCTTTCCACTATGTGTTCCAATCATACAATATGTCCATGAGACCATGGGCAGGTTTTTTTTTTTTTTTTTTTTTTTTTTTCCTTCTTTTTTTTTTTTTTTTTTTTGTTTTTTTGGGGGGGTTTTTTTTTTTTTTTTTTTTTTTATTGACCTTGAGATTCATATTGTATGAAATAAACAGGTAACTGTTATCTTCCATTATGGAGGTTTTGCTTGGTAGGTCCTAGAAAAGCCTTGCCTTTCTGTTAAGGATTAAGTCCTTAAATTGCTGTCTTTGCTGGACAGCAAAAAGCAGTGTATTCTTCACAGCAAGGCTCTTAAAGTGGTGGTTGTACTATCCATTCTGTCATTGTCTCTGCTAACACTTAGACAGTATTAAAACAAATACAATGGTGGCCTGTACTGCTTCATTTTGGTTGTAGCTATGGCTTTTTTAGTTGTTTCTCCTGTGTTCTGTGCATGTCAGACCTCTCTCTCCATCGTTGTGCACATAGACTGTTTGTTTGGAAGCCTCCCCCTCCTCTGCCAAGTTCATACACAGGAAGAGAAGCCTGGAAAAGGAAAGGTGTGACATAACTTGTGCAGCACGGGTTGGAGCCTGGAACATCTTTGTGCACCTGCTCATTTGGCCCCTTCTTTCCAGCTGAACGTGTTGTGTTTGACACTGGAGGAGCTGAGGGAGCTGCCAGTGCTCTGAATGTCCTCTTTGCATAGAGCTGGCAGTCTGTGGGTGCAGCTACCAAATCTGCACATGCTGAACACACAGTGCTGACGAAGTCAGCATTGCTAAACTCTTCTTTTTCTGCGCTCTGTGGAGGTGGTGACATGGATCTGAAAAGGATAAGGATGTTTTTTGTTTACAGAGGCATTCTGTGATGCAGCCATTTCATAAACTGAACTAGAATTCATAGGTTTCTGCATAGGCAAAATCCCAAGGTAGTCATGCCATACCCAGTTAGTAGTTTAGGCTTACCTAGTGGTGTGTATTATCTGTCCAAGTTACTGTGATTGTCTAATTTATTGGATAACATAAAACATAACTTAATACTCATGTACAGAATGGCAGTCATGTGAATTAACGAGAAACCTGTAAGCTCTGAATTAATTCAAGGCTTAGTGCAAGGAAAGTTTCACTGATACTTCTGAACATGGATCAGATCTATTACCTTCACAAAATGTGCTTCTAATGTTCTTGTTGTACACTCTCTTGTGAGACAAAGCAGATTGCAGATCTGTGTAGGAAAGGAAATTCAATACCAGCACTAATGGGGAAGTTTTTAGGAGGTATTTAAGCTTTAGAGCAGTAAACATATCATTTAAAGACATATTTTATGATACTAACTTTGTACCATAAGTTTAATTTTATATTTGCATTACTTTACCTGAAAAAAACTGAATATGTCCTTCAATATTGGTTGTATAGATGGAAATATTAATGTACCACATAACTCTTCTCTCTGTAGTTCCTGACATTATTGTCTTCTAGCTTGATTTGAATTCTTACTCATGCTTGTTATGCTTTGGTTTAGGACCAGTCTTTAGTGTCAGTATTTTTTCCTTTGTCTTTGTCCTTCCTGCTGATGTTTTTTTCCCCATTTCTACATATTTGAGTATCAAGGAATGGTGTGGTAAGTACAAATTGCCAGTGGAAAAAATTATATCTAGAAAGATAGAAAGGTGATAATGTACTTCAGAGTTTGATTTAGCATGAGCATCCTAAGGCATCGATGTAAAAGAAGTTAGTTTAGTTGTTGGGCAATTGTCATTGGAGACTCGTCTCATTATGGAAAATGTTTTCACAGTGGCTTAAGGTTTCAACAATAAAGTAGCATTAATAATAGTAAATAAAATAATAAAATAAAATAAAAAGTAGCTTTAATAATTTTTTTCTTTATTTTGAAAATATTTACTTTGTATGTAAGATTTGTGGTTTTCATATTTTTGTAGCACTTTCTGACTCAGTATTTTACTGTTGCTCTTGCTTATAGGAGAGTGTTACGGTGGCTTTGAATTCTAGGAATCGGTAAATGGTTAGAGAACTTTCAGGCAGTTCATTTTGCCACGGTAAGCTTTGCAGCCAGCTGGGCTGTGTGAGCGGTGTGTGGGTGCTAAAGCAGTGCCCTTGTTCTTGCAGAGAGCCACATCCTGGAGGACGTGAACCGCTGCATCGTGGCGCTGCGGGAGCAGGACGCCGAGGGCCTGGACCGCGCCGCGGGCGCCCTTCGCGGCCGCGCCGCCAGGGTCGCGCACGTGGTGGCGGGGGAGATGGACAACTACGAGCCAGGAGCCTACACCCAGGGCGTCATGGGGCATGTGCAGCATCTCTCTGGGGCTGGTAAGGCCGAGTGGAGCTCTTGTTGTGGGTCGCCTTTTCTCGGTACGCTGCGTTGAACACAAATCCTGTGGGTCACTGGTGAAACACAAGGGTGGCGCACCAGCGATTCCCTTCAGCAAGCTGTTGAGTTAGGACGAGACCGTGCTGTTCAAAACTAATTTTTAACATTTTATTTGAATTATGTGATCTATGTAAGGTTTCTTGAGTTATGGAAGACTGCTACTGGGGTCCTTAATGCACGTGACTTTGTTTGGAGACTTGTAACTAATGATGTAGCATCTTCCCACTTTATTGCACTGGCCTCACCATGCCTGATCTAAGCAGATGAAAGGCAAAATCAGAGAAGCAGGTGCATTATTTGCGTGTTCTTCCACTTTAAAGACTCTTAAGCAGTAATCAGATGTCCCAAAAGTCTTCAGTTTTGCAAAAAAAATTTGAAACTTTCTAAAATGTTTAACAGTCTCCTTTACGTTTCCATAAAGAGGACACCCTATATTGGAAAATGCCTGTACTGGCCACAGGGGTAACTGCACTATTCTCTAAATAGCTCTGTGTTTTCTATAAATGAATCTCTGGCTTTTCATAATTTGTACTTAATTTTAAAAAATAAACTATATGAAGCTCACAGTACTTCCATGTTTTAAATGGTTGCATGTCTCATAGCTGGGCAGTTAAACTGCTCCTAAGAGATTTTCTGGCAAGTCTGTACATCCCTGTAATATAGGATTTGGCTTCCTGAACTCAGAGTTATAATTCCCTGCTCTGTCAATCTAAACAAATGTCTAGTACCTTACATTTAACTGACATTTTACCACAAGAAAAGACAGGAATTTTGTTTGAGCTCTTTCTTGGTAAGTTCAAATATGTCCAGGGTAGAACTGTCTTCATGTGAACAGGAGTAAAGTGACATTGCAGTGAAGTGGCAAAAGAGAACAATGGGAAGAGTTTGAAATAGGCTTGCCTGTTTTTATCTCGTTTTCTGATATTTTGATGGGAAAATGGAAAAATTTTCACTGTTGCACTCCTTTCTTAATGATTTCTGGAAGTACTGTGATGAATACTGAGAGGGAAGCAGCATAGAAAAGCATAGTTTATAGATTCTCATGTAAAAGCTGAGCCTGTTTTTCTTGATACTGACAGTGTTTAAAGACACTGGGAGTTGTCATTGATTTCTGTTCTGTTGCCTTGCTTTGACAGTAATATAATATACCTAAACCTGTCTGTCTGCAGAAGACAGGGAGGCATAAAACTGGTTGTGGTTGGAATGCTGGCTTGTTCCAAGGGACATTAAGCATGGTCACATCTCCAATGACTTTGCAGTACTTCAAAGAATTCATTGTCTTTACGTTGTTCAATAGGAGTGCAAAAAAGACACGTTTTTCTCATTTTCGCCTGTATTTGTGATCTGCAATGAACAGATATTGTGCTGTGAGAGGGCTGCTTGGTTTTGTTTTATTTAACTTTTTCAGCTTACAGGTAAAATGCAGGTAGGTTGCAGCCCACAGGTGTAACCTAAACCATTCTATCCCAGCTGGGTCTTTCAGGTCCAGCTGATTGCAAGGGGAAATTCACCAGGAGAGAACTCTATTTATGCTGCCATGAACACCTCAGTTAACTTTCACAATAACCAGTGAAGGGCATCCTTTATGCCTAAGGAAGAGGTAAAGTGTTACTCATGAGAAATTACTGTAGGCACAGTATAGAATTAGTGAAAACAAAATTAAAGACAAGGAGCATACATGGAAATAGCAGAGAACTAAAAAATGGAAGAGTTAATGGGAGAGGAAATAGGAAGGATGCAAATTGGAGGTAACAGAAGGGAGAAAATGTGCATAGAGGAGCAGATATATGTACTGTTTATTAAAACAAAGATCAAGGTTAAATTGTAGAATATATGATGAGGTAATCTATAAGAAAAGAAAGATGTTCAATTCTCTGCATTGCAGTATGCAAGGAAAGAGCAAAAGATCACTGTATCTGTCTCTTCAGCTGGAAGACATCAGATGAATTTAAGATAAAGTAGAGCTGTTCAACAGTAATATCTTAATACTGCTACAAAATGAGTCTTAAAAACTGGAGCTTAATTTCTTAGCTGAGGTATAGTCTCATGTACATCCAAGCTGTGGGCAGCCAAGTGTATTTCTTTGGCACCCTACAGTGGAGTGTCTGCTTTCTCAGGCATATTTATCCTGTTCCTCTGTTTATCCCTTCCCTTTCCCTGAACAAGAAGGAAAACCCTGAGGGACCCACAGCAAGGCTCTGGGAAAGCCCCATCTCCATGGTGTGGAGCTGAGCTTTTAGCAGTTAGATAATACCAGAGCTGAGGTTGTCTCTGCAGCCTTGCTGTCCCTTGGTTTGCCCGCTGTGGGTGTGTGCCATGCCTTAGGACTGGTTATGTGCTCATGGCCAGTTGTTACCAAGCAGCTGCTTGGAGCAGGTCTCTGCATGGGCACGTGCCCGGCTCTCGGGTTAGGTGACAGGAGGCTGCTGTCCACAGGCTCACTTTGGAACACAATGAAGCACAAGGCTGTGGAAGAGAATGATGATCTCACGTTGGACGTAGTTCTAGAGAGACTGGATGATCTTGGTCTGGTACTGTGACTGTAGCTGCACTGCCAGGGGCTGTGCAGAGCTCCTGCTGTGCCCAGTCGTGCGGCTGTGCTGACGGGGTGCAGGGACGGGGCTCTGTGCTGGCCGTGCCTTGTTCCACAGCGCAGTGGCAGCGGCCGTGCCCCTGGGCCCGTCTGTCCCTGCTCCTGGGTGTCTGTGGGAGCAGCGTGCAGGTGCTGTGGCTGGGGAGGAGCAGCAGAGCATGGCAAGGCCACAGTGCACTGAGAATTGTGGCCCAAATCTGTGTGAAGCCTTGGGGACCCTGGGGAAGATGTTCAGCTACGGGGGGAGTGTGTTCTGGGGACGCAGGAGGTTTAGCCCAGCAGTGCCTGTTTGAGTGTACAAGTGTGCAGAGTTGAGCTTGAGGCTGTGTTCTGCTATAGGTAAGGCTGTGAAAACTTTACTACTGGTGCCTCTGTCATTCCTAATGTCTGGCACTGTTCATTAGATTGAAATGCTCAGATTGTTGCATTTTGGTAGGGTTTGTGTACTGTTGTATCAAAGAAAAATGAAACCTTTAGGAGCTTTGTAAAATCCTTAAGGTATTTTTTCTTCAGAACTGGAAGGGTGATCTTGTTCTGTACTTTTAAATACCAGTCTCCTCTTATTTTATTTCCTGCCAGAGTCTGCAGCAGTTAAATTTAAGTCAACAATTTATATTATGGCATATATTTGTTGGTAGAGTAAAAAGTGAATTGTAAATTTGGTCTGTAGTTCTGCTTTAATGCCAAAGTATAATAATATACATATATGTGTAAATAAATATATAAATTCTTTAGTTACTTTGATGTCTACAGATCTTGAAAAAAAAAACCAAGGAAAAGGGTGGAGACAAAGATGGGAAGTATTATAACTGCCTCAAGTCTGCAGTGGGCCAAAGATATTAAGCTTTTAGACTTTTTCTGGAGTGCTTGGGTTTGTGTTCAGTGATTTTCTTTAAAACCTTCACAGCCTTCAGTTACATTTTGGCAGTATATTTTAGCATGATATTATCTGCCAGTATGAATGAATTTATTTAGTTACACTAATGTGTGTATTTATTTAGTTCCTGGTCCCAGGATTGCTATTTTGGTCACCTTCCAGTCTCCCCTTTCCCTTCATAGCCCTTTCAGTGTGGGCTGATTATTAATACTGATCTACTATACCCGAAACAGAGCTTTCTTGTACAGTAATTTATTAATTGATTCTCCAGGGTGGATTAAATCTACTGCATTGCTTTTCTCTGGGAAAAGATAATTTACCATAGCCATAAAAAGACAAGGGTGATTTCATTATACAATCCTCCTTCTATCTTGGGCTTTTTATTCAGCTTTTCCATTTCTTGCAAGCCTATATGCACAAGCTAATGGCTTGTATTTTCTTGGCTGCTTCACTTGCCTTTTTCAATTCCAGTTTACAGGTTTGTCACAGCAGCTTATGTGAAATGACTGGCAGTTTCCTTTGTCTCCTGCCTCGAGTCTTCTGCAGTAGGGATTGTCTGTTCTTCGGAAATGTGACTCTCTCTTACCCAAAGGGCACCCTCCAGAGAGGAAATGCAAGAGGGGCTGTCTCTTCCCTCCTGCCTGCTCTAACAGTTACTACTTACCTTGTCATCTTCTGGCAAAGCCACCTGAGCCACCATGGGGGACAGGAGCACTTCCAGAGACTTCACTGGCTTTCCTAAGGTGTATCTTCAGATAGGATCCTCAGGTGGGCTGAATGGGCAGCTGAAGGTCCTTATCTCTTGTAGAACAAGAGATCTTGTTGTAGAAAAGATACCAATATGGCTGATTTTATTCTAAATTTTTTATTTAATTGTTGGCTAAAATGAGGCGAATGGACCTTATTCTGTGGGGCACCCAAAAATCGTAAGTTTTTATTAATTTAGAAAGATTAATTTATAATTTTATTAATTTAGAAAGTTTTTAATGAAAAAGTATTTTAATGAAATAGTTGTTCATCACTGTCAGAATAAGATCTAAAGAGAATACTTGCTGTTCAAGTCTGTTTAGTATCCATTGATTTTTACTCTTGCTTATGAAACTTAAAGAAGAAGATTGATTCTTGTCACTTCAAAATATGTAAAAAAAGAAAATCCCCAAAACATTTGAAGAAGGAGAGAGGCCTGAGTATGCATACTTATGGAATTGATGAACTTGTGAAATTGGTGCATAGCTCAGACAAGGAACAGCTTAAGAAAAAAAAAAATGGGCCAAGAAAAACACTGAGGGTATTTGCATGACTTAGCCTAAATTATGTTTTTTGTTAAGTTACATGATGATTGTAAGATAATAACTTAAGAAATAGTCCTTGATTCTTGTGGTTGTTACTCTATTACAGAGTCAACAACCTCCATTTGGTGGAGTTTGTAGGGCTCTGTTTGGATTCCTTCTGTGAAATTCTGTTAAAAA